TAAAATATAGCTAACATACAATATTATATTAGTTTCAGGTATACATCATAGTTATTCAAGTGTACCCTCTGGGCACAATACAGAGTTATTACCATATTACTGATTGTGTTCCCTGTGCTACAGAAGTGATCACCATGAAGAATTATGCTCTGTAAATCACCATAATTGGAGCAACAGTCTTTAGTCTCCAATTTAAGTTTAAGACAGTTTTCAAGATTTCGGTTACTCATACTTTTCTCTGTGTCGTTCTTAAATTTTCCTCAATTTTCAGCAGCCTTTTCTCCCTTTGCAATTGCATTCTTCTACCATTCATGTCAAGAAGCACAGATTAACACAATTTCCGCTTCTGTGGCCCTAAATACTACTCCTTTCCTGCTCCATCTGCATCTCCCTGTCTTTCCCCTGATTTCTAAAAGACAAAGGGCCACATTGTAGCCCTTTTCCCAAAAAGAATCTCCTTCTCTCATCCAAAAATTCTGTGGACTTTCACAACTAAACAGTGCCCCAGGCAACGCCAAACCCCCAAAACGACAATTTGCAGACGAGAGTAGGACATCGGCTTTACAGGGGGATTTGGGATCCTCTCATTTTTAAATGCAGAGTGTTAACTGACCCGTCTCAGAATGGCTGCTCTCAGGTGAGGATGGGGCGCTGCCCTAGCTAGGAGTCCCATTGCCTGCCTCTCTGGATGTTAACCATTCCTAGGAACCACCCGGGATTGAGTAAATAACAAGAAGTGTTTAGAACAGTATGAAATAAGTGGGACATTAACAGGTGACACCAAGAAAAGCAGAGACCACTTGCACATCAGTGACTTCCTAACCTGTCACCTCTCACCACCTGTGCCTCCTTTGTCACACATCCTGAATGGAGCCCACTTTCAGCCTTTGCAATATTCCTGCTCAGGCTAGTTTAGACCTCCCGTGGGCCTTCTCTCCCTGGTAAACAAACTTCCTTTTATAAACAAATGATCAGAAGCCTTCCTTTCCCTCTTGTGTAGATGACACAGATGGGAGGGGTGAGCAGTTAATGCGTAGTGGGCCTTTGAAAAGTGTTGCTGTAGAAACGGGAATTATGAAGACCCCTTGTAGGCAAGGTATCCGGGAGTTAACTGTTTATTGAAACTGGGGGAGGAGGGGAAACCGCATTTCAGGCAAAATAAGAGATTGAAGTGGCAGCAAGTAAGCTTGACCTGGAGCCTGTGCATTGTAGTGAGCTTCTGGCCCTCCCGACTTTGAAGCCACTTACAGCCCCAGCGTCACTGCTGCCTGGAGAGCTCTGCAGTGGAGGAGGATGTGATGTCCCCCTCAGGGGGCTCGCTGTCTAGTGGGAAAGAGATGGCGAATAAGCTGAAGTCCAGGATTGCAAATCACAGCCTGTCCTACAGGAGAGGAGACAGTGCAGCTTACTTCAGTGTTTCTGTTGAGGTTGGTTTCGGAGGCTGACATTCTTCTTTGGTGGCTTTTTAAAAAACCATGCATCAAGCTAACTGACTGGGAAATGTATACATTGTACCTACCACACCATACTGAATAGTGTAAATGAGAATATTTATGACGTGCTCAGGGTCACAGCAGGCGGTGGCGGTCAGCGGCACCTCTCAGAGAAGTATCTAGTGCGTGTGAAGACGTTGCATATCGGTGCCCTGCTCTAAGGAGCTGAACAGGAGCCCGCAGAGGTTTCTGTCTTGGATCTCAAGCAGAAGGCTTTACATACCGGAAACCCCGGAAGGCCCGTACCAGCATGGCACAGCTGAGACTGAACGTTAGCTGGCACAGTGTCAGGGCTGCTGAGGTCAGTGGGAAGCCACGTTTCTTAGGAGACTGTCATGAGTATGACCCCCCATTGTATATACCCACCTACCTGCCCTGCAGGGACAGAGTTATCACAGGACACCCAGCGACCCTGGAGTTGGGGGCAGACATATAAGGGTATTTGCACGTGAGCGTGTCAGCTTGGGACTCGACGTTTTTGAAGTCCGTTTTTGCTGTATACAGATTTTGTGGTGCTCAATCTTTTGGGCCTCCACAATTATATGAGTAGCCTTATAAAAATTTAAGGAACAACAACTATGTAAGCTTTATTCACATATTGCTAAATTCTTCATGGCTTGTGATGGCTTTTAATATGATTATAAGATTTTTAAATCTCATCTTTGCTTTAAGATTCACCTGGGGGTTCCGTTGTCTGCACTTGAGTAAATCAGTCACCCGTTCATTAAAATTCAGCAGGACTGAAGGTTTCCATCTGAGCATTGAGCTGTCTGCTGCTAAACAATTGCGGTGTGCCCAGTGCAGCCTGCACTGAAAGCGTAGAGAATACAAGGGAAATGTAAATCCTATATTCCCTGTCCAGTCACAAGACTATTTGTGTGAACATCAGGACAAATGGCTTTCAGTACAGGTCTGCACGTTGGTGATTTTTAATCTTTCAGTGGGAATATATTACTGGCATTCAAACGCATTACTGCAGAAAGAGATCTAGAGTGTTGTAATGATTATCTCTGTTGCTGGGAGAGAGTATTGTAGCAAATGGACATTTAGTTAACATTCTAATAAAAAGAGCTATCATCGTTTGAGAGGAAAAATAACATCCTAAACTATTTTAAAACTACAGTAGAAATTCATGTACTTTTTCTCCTGCGACAGCCGAAATCATGTAATTTATTGGAACAGATGGCCCAGAAAAGGTGAGCTGTGTGAAATAGCTGTGTTATATTCTTAGTAAAGATCATTTTTAAAAGGCTATAAAAAAACATAACAAAACCTTGAGTCTCAAGGTTTTTTGCTAGTCCCACTAATTCAGCGAATCTTACGTTTTCTCTGCAAAGTTCCTGCCAAAATCCAGCCTCATCCCTGCAGTCTCTTATCTCCAGGACTCCTAGTCACAGGCTCGTAACCACATGTGTGACTGGCTTCCCAGTTGCCTTTGTTAGGTTTAAATAAAATTCCATTTTCAGATTCTCTTTCCAGATATCTCTGCCCTTTAGCACATCCTTCCTTGGTGCCTGGCTTAAATGGCAGCTCTGATTGGTCCTCTGTGATGTGGGAGACTTGACTCACAAAGCAGCCTCATTCCTCTGTCACAGTCTTTCCTCAAAAGTAAATGTTCGAGGGCCGGCCGAGTGGTGCGTTGGTTAAGAACTGGCTTGGGACTCCAGAGGGCCCCGGTTCGGATCCCACATATGAGGGCCAGTGACACTGCCCACCACAGCTAAGATGCTGAACAACAGCTCAACCTGGAGCTGGGCTGCCATGAGTCGCCAGCGATGGCGTAGGCTGCAGCCATTGCTGCAGGGGGTTGCCATGGGCTACCGTGTGTGTAGCCAGCAGCCAGCATGAACAGCCAGCAGCCGCAGTGAGCGGCCGTCCAGAAGCCGGCGACTGATCTGCCTCACCCGGGAAGAGCGCAATGATGGTGTCAACTTGGGCCAGTGAAGCAACATCCTCCACAACTAGACTGAAGAACAAAAGGACAGCAACTTGTCTGTTCCCCTTCCCCCAATTCCTCCAGCGCTGTTCCCATCCCCCAATAAAAAAAAAATCTTAAAAAAAAAAAAGTAAAGGTTCAACGTTCTCCTGCTTCCTTTTGTCGCGTAAACATTATCAGGCATGTTCCACACCCCGCCTCCTCCCCATTAGTCCCTGGGTGCTCCACCGAACCCATTGCCCTGGTTAACGAGCAGGTGGGTTCCGGAACTGATGCTCAGAACAGCAGTTCTTACCATTGTGAGAGGCTAAGCTCTGGAATGTCTCCACGGAGAAGCGCACCTGTGTGTAGATGTACACGTCGTATGTGATTCCAGCGGATTCTGGCCTCCCTGCAGCTCCTCACAACCCCCATTCCCCTGGGATGCAGACTGACAGCCCTGGCTGTCACGATGACACTGTGCACGGGAGTAACCGGGGAAGCTGTGTAATGACCTGTGTACCCAGGCCCGAACCCAGGAGTTCGGTACAAAGCCAAACATTGGGGGATCTAAAGCTGAAGGTTTTTCAGAGTTACTTCTTTATAAGCAGGATATAGTTTAGAAATTGGATTTTGAAACCACTTTTAAATTGTAATTGCGGATGTGAGGATTTTTTCAGAATCCAGTTTCACAGAAAATGCAGGTAGCTTTTTCCTGAACTGACTTGTCCAGACCTGGGAGTCCTTTCAGGAGGCAGTGCCCACGAGACTGCATGCCCCACGGGACTCCCAGTTGGCATGTGCTGGATGCAGAGTGTCCTGACCGGCTCGATGTGGGAGTGACTCAAACCTCATGGGAAGCAAAGTGCACATATGTTTGGGCCACTGGCCCTAGTGTGTGTGTGTGTGTGTGTGTGTGTGTGTGTGTGTGTGTTTGTTTAATGTTTGTTTTGTGGAATTTATGGCATCTTGGAACCTACAGAAATGACAAAGGTGAAAAGTCGTACGGTTTCTGAGTGTGCCATTTCACCAGATAATGGAGCAAAATATTTTAAAAGAAGCCCTCAACCCTGTGCGTGGGTGTGCCCCGATCTTCCTGTTTGCTGTCGCTGTTCACTGAGTCACCCTCCCGCTGTACCCTCATCTGCCTGGCCCTGGTCCCCACTGTTCCGTGTCAGTCCCCACTGTTCTGTGAGCAGCCTGGTTTGGACACGCGTGTAGACCGGTGTTTGGATCCTAACAAGGCAGTGGGTTGGGGGTGCATCAGCCCGGAGAAGTGGGCTTCCTGTGCTGAATTTTCCTGGGGGTCTAAGACCCCCTTAGCTCCTTAGCACAGAGAACTGTGACTTCCACCTGACAGTGAACTCAGAACTAGACCGAGATGTGTTGGCAGCAGCTGGTAAGATTTCATACAGAGCGGTGACTTCCCACAGACATGGTGTCCACTGTGGAACGGACTGCAGTGACAGTCACGACGAGCCTTTGAGGTGTGAGGCCTGAGGTCTGGTTCTAATACTGAGGTGAGGGGAACGTGGGCGGCAGACAGGTATCATCTAAAGGTGTGTCTTCTCCTCCCCCCCTTCTCCCCGCAGGTTACGGCCACACGGTGCCCTTGTCGGACGGCGGGAAGGCCTTCTGCATTGTCTACTCCGTCATCGGCATCCCCTTCACCCTCCTGTTCCTAACGGCCGTGGTCCAGCGTGTCACCATCCATGTCACCCGCAGGCCTGTTCTTTACTTCCACATCCGCTGGGGCTTCTCCAAGCAGCTGGTGGCCATCGTGCACGCCGTGCTCCTGGGCTTTGTCACCGTGTCCTGCTTCTTTTTCATCCCGGCGGCCGTGTTCTCCATCCTGGAGGATGACTGGAACTTTCTGGAATCCTTTTATTTTTGTTTCATCTCCCTGAGCACCATTGGCCTGGGGGATTATGTTCCTGGAGAAGGCTACAATCAAAAGTTCCGCGAGCTCTATAAGATCGGGATCACGTGTGAGTGCCGAGCCCCAACTCTGCTCCCTGGGTGTCGCTTGCAGTTCTCAGCTCCACCTTGCCTGCTCACGAGCAGCTCTTCACAAAAGCCCCGATGGCCTTTTCACTGATAACATTTCAGTTTTGCCACCTTCCCATAACTATTTCATTTCATCAAATATGATTCCCTTCAAAACTCTATGCAAAAATCTTCACTATTCCTGAGAGTTATTTTTTCCCAGGCACCTTAAAAGCACTGATCGATTTCTTACTAATAATGTAATAAGCATTATAAATTACAGTGCAAGAACCACACAGAGCATACTTGATAACCAACTTTTAATTAAAAAAAGTCACTCTTAAATATTTTAAGTTCAAGAAATCTAGGGCTGGGATTGCAGCCCGTTATAATCAATCATGTTCTTTAATCTACTAGGAAAACCTTAAAACAGTCAAATGTCTTATTTGTTCATCTGGTTCTTTTTGGGAAAAGTTAGAATGTGTTAACCATGTTCAGACTTACTATGTGGAAAATAGGTATTAAAATTCAGATGGCCAAGTGATTTATAATTTTTAAACAAATTTTTTTTAAAGATTTTTGTTGGGGAATTGGGGATGGGAACAGCGCTGGAGGAATTGGGGGAAGGGGAACAGACAAGTTGCTGTCCTGTTTTTTTCTTCAGTCTAGTTGTGGAGGACGTTGCTTCACTGGCCCAAGTTGGCGCCATCATTGCGCTCTTCCCGGGCGAGNAAGAGCGCAATGATGGTGCCAACTTGGGCCAGTGAAGCAACGTCCTCCACAACTAGACTGAAGAACAAAACGACAGCAACTTGTCTGTTCCCCTTCCCGCAATTCCCCAGCACTGTTCCCATCTCCCCAGTTCCCCAATTAAAAAAAAAAAATTTGAAAATTATTTTTGTACGGATAATTTGGGACCAAAGATAATAAGCAGGTAGAAAAGAATGAAAACGACGTATTGAATCAGAATCACCAGCACATAAGGAGTTGTTTGTATGTAAAAGATAGTATGCCGACTCTGGAAAGCCAAGAGAGAAAATGGTTGTGTTGCCAGCCAGCTCCTAGTTAAATAAACAACACACTGTACACATGCAATTTGTGTGTGTTTCACTGCAGTTTTAGGCGAGGAGGCTGGGGGAGAGGGCCCCAGGAAGGTAGGAGAACCTGTACATAAGGAGCAAGGGCAGTTCGCACCTGGAACTCGGGGTGCTGCTCACTTCTGCCGGAAAATGAGTGTTGTCACCCGGGATGCCACCCGGGAGCTGTGTGTGATCCGCTGGCGATGGCCTCTGCTGCTGGGAGCTCGGGATTGTTCAGGCAGCAGAGGAGTTACTCTCGGATTTCGGCGGATACGCTGTCTTCTGAGCGAGAAATCTGTCGGTACAGGCTAGAAGGGAATGGCAGAGGTTGTGGGACCCATCTTCATACTCTCCCCAGTGACTTGAAGACCTAATGAGACTGCCTCTGATGGCTTGTCACGCATAGTGACGGATCGCACACCCTCTAAATGCCCGTCAGTTGGAAGGTGGTGAAATAAGCTCAGGGTGCTTGCTTATTGTGGAGACCACCCCTAAAGCACAGGCAGACCTTTGGGATTTGGCATGGAGCTGTCTCAAGATATGTTGTTCAGAGAAGACTCAACAATTGGAGACCAACAAGACACGTGGAATGCAATTTATAATAGGAACAAAATAAAACATTGTTTTTCTGGAGATACACACACACACACACACACACACACACACACACACACACACACACATATCAGTGGTGCCAAAAAAGTGTATACACATGACTTGTATTCATCTTTTGCTATTGGTATATATTAAGTATTACAGTNCCACTCGGCCGGCCCTTAAATAGTTTTTTAAAATTCACTATATCATGGAAAACTTAGAAATCCATTTTCAAATAACTATTTGTATGTGTCCCCTTCCTCTCTCTGCAAGATGCATAGAATTGCATTCTGATGTACATACAGTTTTCCTTTCTGCCTTCTCAAGAATTTATCTAGACTCAACTCAGGTCAGGGCTTTTAGGAAATCACAGTCCATACTCAGGTAGTCAGATGCTCTCTCTGGCCCTGGTGTGTAGTCTTAACCCAATAAAACTGTATTTCAGCATTTCCCTTAAATCAGGAGGTCACCCAGGAAAAAGACTTCACTCACAAACCCCAATGCTTTGAAAAGTGCCCAGCTGCCATACAAGTTCCATAAATATTTACCAAGTGGCTACAAGGATGTCTTCATAATTCCCCTAGTTACCATAACTTTTTAATGTCCACATAATATTTTACCAGGTGGCTAGACCATAATCTAACTGTGCTTATATTGTCAAATATTTAGGTTGCTTCCAGTTTGGGGGCATTCAGAAATAACTGCAGTAAATATTTTTCTATGTTTACACTTTTTCTGCTTTGGTATCTTTCCAAGTGAGATTGCTGGTCCATTGCACGTGCCCCTTTGTGACTCACAGGACACACTGGTTCGGTGCTGTCCCAACGGCATCTCGACTTCACACTGCACTGGAGTTACCTGCATCTGGGTTTCAGTGCTACTGGCGTGATGTGGGCCAGTGTGGGCTAGGTGTTTTGTGGCACAGATAAACATTACCTCAGTTTTCTTTTCACATGTTAGGTAAAATGTTATCTCCTTGTTTTAATTTGATGTTTTCATGACTTAGGGAAGTGGAACGTGATTCTTTAATTAGGTTTCTTAGCTCTACTTTTCTCATGTTGTTAATTAAAGGTCTTCTCATAAATTTTGCCCAACAGTTAAACTTCCTCAGTTTCTCATATGATACTAAATCCCTACAGAACATGTTAAGACTTGTTAAAATGTGAGTCATGGCTTATTTAGGCAATCTGCATCACAAATGACTGTTCCAAAGGTGTATTATTTGTGGATAGGATAAAATCCCACCACTTTTGCCTGAAATCCCATGGGTATTTTTGTCAGCATTCAAGAGTTTGACTAAATAATAGATAAAGGAAAAGGAGGGGATTTACCAATTAGTTTGACTAACATCATTGTTATTTATAAAATATACTATATTATTATCGACATCTCATATCCAAATTCTAAAGGTGCTAGAACTGTGTTCCTTTGTGTTCTTAAGACAGTCAGCTGCCTTGATCCTATTATGCTGCCAATTCTAGCTTTCCTAGTTCATTTATTTTCTGAAAGTCTTCTTCAAACATTTTACCACTGGGACATGAACTTCGGATTTTTGTAATTCTTACAGTTTTCACTTTTACTTTTCTATTCGTTTCCAAGATGAATTTTTTTTTCTTAAAACTGATTTTAAACATGTTGGAACTGACTTAAAATGACCTATTTCCCATCACAGAATCCAAGGAAAAGCACTTTACCTGAAGCAACAGGCTATCTTGTATTTTAGAATAAGAAGCTGGTAGAGTTATTCAATGAATGGACCATGTGTCCAAAAAAAAAAAATGACCATCACATAATAGAAAGCTTAGTTTGCTGCTGGATCGTAGTGGAAGTGTGAATAGCCACACACAAAGAGCTTTTAATATCTGCATCAATTCTTAAAGCAATTCTCATCCAGCTGAAACTAATTTCTGTTGCCGAACTTGTCATTCTGTAGGGGAATAATGATAAAAATACAGAGTGTGTCAAGCTCTGTTGTGAGCACTCATGATAAATCAAAAACTCTTTTAAAGTGTCTCTGGCTTTCGGAGAGCCACTGATTATAAAGGGGAGATGGAGCGCCCCCTCCTTGAAGGTCACCCTTGGGTGAGCACAGTATGTTATCTCTCTGTAAGAACGCCACATTGTCCCCAACTTTTTTTTTTCTCAAAAATTGTACCCTCTGATTCTGAATAACCCAATTTTGTAGGTGAAGGCATTCTTCCTTTTTTTCTCGGGGTCATCCCTCTTTGCACCATGGAATTCAAAGCCTTCCTAGAAGTTAGAGAAGTGGCAATGGGTTTGTCATCCACAGACACTTTGTGTCATGACTTGGTTTATCCATGGCTGGGTCCCGCTGAGACACTGTCATTTTTCTCACACAGGTTACCTGCTACTTGGCCTTATTGCCATGTTGGTGGTTCTGGAAACCTTCTGTGAACTCCATGAGCTGAAAAAATTCAGGAAAATGTTCTACGTGAAGAAGGACAAGGACGAGGACCAAGTGCACATCATTGAGCACGACCAGCTGTCCTTCTCCTCCATCACGGACCAGGCCGCCGGCATGAAGGACGACCAGAAGCAGAACGAGCCCTTTGTGACCCCGCAGTCGTCTGCGCAGTCCGACAGCCCCACGAGCCCCTGAGGGCAGGGCTTCGTCCATGTGTGAGAATGTAAGAGCCAAGGTGATGTTTTAACAAATACCTACTGTTGGCAATATTCAAAACGACACAGGAAAAATGGGACAAAGGAAGCTTTTGCTCTGGACAAATAATACCTGAGGAGATGGGATATGCACCTGTAATTCACATGCGACAAAATGATCTCGACTTGACTGATAGGCGAAGAGTACTTGAAGCAGCGTGCTGCTGTGGGTAGAAGTCGATTTTATACTTTTAATTGGGGACTTGGGGATTTGCACTTAGATCATTTTAGCTGACGGCTAACTAGCAAGATTTATACTTAAAAGCAAATAAAAAGCATAGAGATGTGTTTTATAAATAAGTTTATGTGTACTGGTTTGCATGCGCCCATCAAAAATTATTTTTGTAGAGTCTAAGTTAAACCTACTATTTATAATGAATAGGTAACCATTAACTGTGTACATATAAAATATAAATATGTTTATATCCTATATATACGGTTCCGGTCACCAGATCTCAGCATACTTCTTAACCCAAGATTGTAGATATTTTTTGTTTTGATTTCTCTTTATACTAAAGAATCAAGACTTGCTGCAATAAAATAAGAGGAATTAAAGAGTAAATGGCTATAGTATTCTGCTACAATAAATGTTTCTGCTCTCTTGCAAAAGTGCGATATCAGATGTCTAAATGATTAAAGCATTTCTCTGGAGGTGAACGAATCAAGTCGAATATTAGTTAAAAAGGTTAAGATGTTTTGTTTTAAAAGTGCATTGTGATTTGCAGTCACCTAGTACTACAGCCCAGATAGTGACCATAGAACCCCCAAATGAACAGATTCTGTCAAATTACTCTGAGAATCTTTAAATTTATAAGCTGGAATAAATAAAACTCATAGCCGGTTGCAGTCTTCTGCTTTAACATATCAGAAGTTTTCTTTCGTGTGGATAATACCTATGCAGAGGCAGCATGTAAACGATGTACACGGGACACTTAAGAATCTGAGAAGAGAAAATCAGGAAGCTCCTGCTCTATACCTGACACTCATTGCCCCGCTAACCAGCCTCCTCTCCGTCCCTGCTGCCCGGTGGTGCGTGAGGTGTTGGGAATATGAGCCCTGCTGATGAGCCATCCAGGCGCCCTCACCTTGAGGAGCTCACTCAAACTTCTGCCATCTCTGATGTGCCGCCCTGAGCACGTGTCCCCAGGCCTGTCCCAGCACTTCTGCATTAGCCCGCAGACATTGCATGCCCTGACTTATAGCAGGGCCTTTCTTTATTGCATAAAATCCCATGTCGTCTCAAGGCAACAACACCATAAGACGGAGTTCCCAGGACTCTGTAGCCCCGTGTCACTCCATAGCTCCTGGGAATAGTGACTCATCAGCAGATCCTTTCCAATGCTTAATCCCCAACGCTTCCTGTCTGCCTGCCTGGGTTCTGCTGCCCCGCCAGCACAGCTCTTTCCTCGTTCCACGTGGGAGACTGCTCTCCTGCGGGCAGGTATGGCTAAGGAGTGGAACAGAGATGTCTTCAAGAGCAGGGACGCACTTCGTGGACCCGACTGGGTCTGGAAAGTTGGGTGATCACAATGCTTGGAACGGTGCCGAGTGAGGACGATTATAAATCAGAAACGCTGGATGCAGGAGCAATGACTGGCGTGCCAGCACTGCCTGTCTCTAGTATGAGAGGGGAGCACAAAATCTAGAAGATGGGGAAGAACAGAAAGGAAGCATTCTGAACCAGGATAAAGTGTAGCACTTAATTTTCAAAGCATTTACGAATCTGCACAGAATGCACCAAATCTTAATGTCCTTTAAATTGTTTTTGTTGTTTTTAATGTGAAAGGTGAGGTACAAAAATTGAGCAAGTCTTTAGCCTCCTACGCCCTGTCAGATGCACGACCCTGTCAGATGCACGACGGGAGGGAAAACATCTTCCCTGGACTTCGTTTGTCATCTGCCGATGCCTGGATGCTGGCCTGTGGTCCTGAGGGAGGGCCGTCGCCTGGGGGCCGCACAGCTGTCCATGCTGCCCTGTGGTCCGGAGGGAGGGCCGTCCCCTGGGGGCCGTACAGCTGTCCAGGACAGACACTGCAGCCCTCTGGGTGGAGGTGAGACGGAAGCTGAGGTGAAAGTCAGCTAGAGAAGGGGATTCTGAGTGATAAGAGTATAATCAAGGAGCCAGCTCTGGGGCAGGAATGTTCTAGATTGAGTTCCTCAGAACCCTACAGAATGGCCTCAGGATAGAGAAGCAGCAGAGATGGTGGTCGTTCCAGGAGAGCGCCACTGTTGTGTGAGTTTAAAGTGACGTGTGTCCAGTAGGTGTGTTGAGTTTGGGGCAGCAGATACACACGTGAGGAGAGAACAGTGTCTCGGGAAAAGTGCACAACATCTTAGAAATCAGAGCTGCTGTGGACCAGGGGATGGGATGCCTTCACAAGAACCTGCCAAAGGAAATCCATGGGACAGAAGGGCCCAGTTGACTCCATTTATGAGGCTGGTTTCTTTATATAGTTATAATATAACCCCAAGAGATTTAAAATGGGATCTGTTCAAAAGTTGAAGAGGGAGGATGAGTGGGAGAAAAAAAAAAGTGGAATGTTTTCTGAACAGGTAAATACGGTGTGACTTCAGGAAAAAAAATTATCTGGGCCTGATTAGGCTTCTAAGACATAGACTCACATTCTTGTGGGAGAAACAGTTACACCCATACCTACTACACACCAGCCTCATGTGCCTTTTGGGAAATCAGTGAGGAGTTATTTACAAAAGTGGAGACAGATGTCAAGATAACAGTCAATGCAAAGCCTTTCTAACCCTTTAAAGTTATCAGTACACTGGCTTCTTACTAATGCAGCTGAGAGATTTGCTTCAAATAAGAGTTCATTTTAAATTGGCTTAAGCGTGTGCTGGACGGTGATCATAGGACCATCTGAAGTCAGAAGTCACGGGCAGGGCTTCCTGACTGGGACATGACACATTTTGTGGTCCATTGTCAAAGCTTCGATGCTGAGCTGTGGTCAACACTGATATCAAGTCAGGAGGGCAGGCCTTTTGAGGACATAGTTTCATGGTCAAACAGGTCATTCCATGGCAAATTTAGAAATAAAACTTACTTAGAAAACTGAAATTGAAATAATACAGTCCCGTATTTCCCCATGTATAAGATGCACCTTAATTTTGGGGCCCAAAATTTGAAAAAAAATGTATTACATAAAGTTATTGAACTCAAGTTGTACTCATCATAAAATTCATACAACTCCTCATCACTGTCAAAACTCCTAACCATTAGCTTGTCCTCATCTGTGTCTGATGACGAATCACTGTCTTCATATATTGCCTCTCATGGCCTTTTTCTGCCGTGGCATTTTCAGTAGGGTTTCTTCTATCCATAGCCAGTCTCGGATTGTTTTCTCAGTTGGAGGAGGACCAAACTTAACGTTCAGTAGCATGATTTCCATACACTTTTGCAAACTGAATCACTTTTAACTTGAATTCAGTACTGTATGAAAATCTTTTCTGAGCCATTTCTGGGCAGAACGTGGCAAAATGTAACCTACCGTAATATACCGGTAACAAGCGCGAAACAATGAGCTCAAAGACAAGCGTGAAAAAGCGGGAAATGCAAGTAAAAAATCTACAACCACTGTATAAAACACACCCAGTTTTTAGACCCCAAATTTTTCAAAAAAGTGTGAGTCTTATACATGGGGAAATACGGTATTTGCTATTTATTAATTATGCTTAGTAAAATTTTAAATCTGTCTCTTCAGTACATTTAAAGTTTTCCCTAAAGTGATGTATTATTTTCCAAGAGTTTTGCTTTATGAAAATTTGGTACATCCAAGCCTCTTATGTTGAGGCAAAATATGAAATTGTTTGCTGAAGACAGGTTTCCAAAAATCTCACATTACCTAGTATGTGCTGTCAGGCAGCCTCAGCTTTATCAAATACAGTCAGGAATCCAGAAGTAAATAAATAGGCCCCTAAGTCCTTCCACAGCCTGACAGTAAAGCACATGTAAGAAGGAAGTCCCCCTGCTTCACTTACAACTCAGACTTGGCACTGCAGTGTTTCCCAGCCCACAGAAAGTAAAGGAGAGTGTTGCCACCCAATTGTTCTCAAAGATTTGTTAGCACACTTTTCAATACATTTTTGGTGGCACAAGTAAAAAAAAAAAAAAATTCTCAAGATGCAAGTTGGCAATAATTAGCAAACTATCACTTAGCCTGAAGGCAGCATTGTCTCTGTTACCATAAAAACATCCATGGTTCCTGCACCACCTGCTTGGCCTCTTGGCCTGAGAAGAACAGTTTTACAACCTGAAGGACCTTTTCTTAGAAGGAAAAATGGTCATGTACTCCAGGAACATGTGACAACTTATTCATAGCAAGTTTCCTCCATTCTAAGGCAAAGGCAGGACATACTCAGGCCAGTATGACTATAAAATATATGAATACTTACCTGCTTGCAAAGCTGGATGCTGCACATGGTAACAGTTGGCCCGGCCTGGGTGTGGTTTGTGGGTCCCAGTGCATTGTCACCCCGGCTGAGAAATGCATGCTCAGCGCCAGCGAGTGTGCTGAGAAGAGCAGCCAGTGCTGCTGAGAGCCTGGCCTGAAAGAGCCAGGAAAGAAGAAAAGAACCACCTTCTAGAGACCTCAGGCAGGCGTGAATAGCCCCCAGGACAGCCCAGTATTCCTTTTGAAGTTATTTCAATAATACAATTTTCACAGCAATGTTAAGCTATGTTTAATAGACTCTATTTAAGGAGACAGGGTAAACTAAGGCGTATTTCTATACGAAATGATTAAAATTCACCTTAAGATGCTTGCTTGTTCAATGATCATGTGCAGTGTCCAGAAAGCTCCCTTGGACTCAGCATCTCGTTTTCCGGCCCGAGATAGGATGGTAACGTGCAGCTTTGCTGTCATTCATATGTGACGATGACGCTACTGCTAAAATGTTCCGTAAATAAATGAAGTATCCGTATTATTTGTAGTTGAAGAAATGAGCTGAGTTTTGAGGGCTTTTCCATCCTCTTCCATATTTTATATAAATGATATAGCTACTTTTCCATGCATTTAATTTCCATTTCTGAGCAGTGGCTGGAAACCCAGAGCCCAGTAGCCGTGAGATAGTGAAGCTTCCAGTGAGTCCACAGGTGCTCAGAGCTGTCAGCACGATTTGCCGGAAACCCCTGCTTGCCTTTGTTTTTGCTCCGTGTAAACACTGTTGCTTTAAATTATTGCATGACTGGGAGAAAGCTTCTGTTGTTACCAATTTAGTACCTGTGATGACGGCAATTTAGGACAGTGTGACCTTAAAACTGGGACTAGGCCTGTTCCCATCTGTGTCAGCAGCTAGCTCTAAAGGTAGCTAATTCACTGCTTGTGTCATGGCTGGCGGAACTCTATTGCAAAGTAAAACAATTCACCTTCCTGGGTCCCGGCCTATCGAGTTCCCCATGCTGTCCCCTCTGAATTTTGGGAACTGAGCAAGAGACCCGGCTGCCCCAGGCACCCCTGTCTTGGGACAGAGTGAAGCAGAGCCCAGTGGCAGTGCCAGGTATTGACGCCACACGTCCCTGTTGATGACATGCTTCAAGGAAGGGGTGCTGGCTGGTGAAGGGTGACAAGCCAGTGTCCCAGTCCCTGGGATCCTGGCTGTACCACCAAGAGCACATTTCAGATCACAGTCTCAGTTACTCCATTAAATTCACACACCATCCCCCAACTATATAAGATTGCAGTGCAAATATGTATGATGGTGGACATTCCTTAAAGTTGTTTAAGAGTGCCTATGAGCTGCAATGTCTGATTTTCTTTCTTTGATTGGGCAGCTGTAGGAGAACATCCCAAAAGGGAAGACAGTGTTTTCACCTGAAGATATGCCAAGATAGGTAG